CTTCTTCTGTCAACACTAAGCGTACTTGAAGGGAGATGAAAATCTTTATATTTACTGCAAAGAATTGCAGGTGTAAGAACATATTAAAAGGACGAGTTTTGAACTGTTGCATATTGAAATTTGAATAATTTAACAGAGTGTAAATTTAGAATAAATAAATTGTTATCTTCTTTAATTCTATTTTCTCATACAGCTATATTTCCTTGATGGGATTTTGGTAAATGAAACAAAAGATAGTGACAATTTTATTATTCATTTTCGAAATAGGAAATAAACTACGTTTATGTGAAAACAAGTCTTAACAATTAGCAGTGCATGTGTTATTTTCCAATATGCAAATCCTCGTTCATTTCTTTCTTACATCCGCAATCGACCTTTAAGTATCTTATTTATGACCAGCTAATATTAGTTAACTGCATTAGTAATTCAGTTTCTCACACATTCTATTTATGGGTTTTTAATTCGAGAACTCTCTTTTACTCTTGATAGGAGCAACTAACGAATGAAGAAACACTTCGTCACATAGCTATATTTGTAATAATGACATGCAAAAAGCGTCAATTTTGCGATGTGCAATATGTATTATTTGAAACAATTATGGAAATGTGATGTGCACGTGCAAGTTCTATCCCAATTAATCATCAGAGATAATTTAGTTAAATAATAGCAGCTGTCGGATGGTCAGAACTGTTGAGCTGAATGATGTTGGCAGCAAAGCTAGACAAATTGCTTAGGTTGTTGAATGATTACATCTAATCATACAACATTTTATGCTGTAATATCTTCTATTAAACATACGTTGCAATTCGTAATTACTTTCAAATTTTATACACATTTGGGGACCACACTGAAGACTTTACAAATTGTGATGCTTATCAGTTCACTTTTTGTAAGTTGCAAGTGAAAGAGTAAGTACAGGTGGAGTAGAGGGAAATTTGGTATAACTGAGTAAAATCAGAAGTGAGTAAAATAGAAGTAAATTCTAATTTACAAAGTTGCAGCATGTAATTGTCATCCTGTTGGATCGCTTTCACGAAGTTGCAATCAAAGTAGTGGACAATGTATTTGCAAGGATGGTGTCACCGGTTTGACCTGCAATCAATGTTCGAAGGGATACCAACAGAGCCGTTCACCACTCCATCCATGCATTCGTAAGCCAAGCCATATTACTAGCTACTGTAATAGCGATGTTGCTCTATTATGTCTTGAGCTCTCATTTTAAAATTCTCATTACACTGGGGAAAAGTGAAACAAATACTTCATCAGCTATCTTCGGGTTTTTTTTTTAAGGAGCTATACGAATGATGGAATATCGACAAAAAGTTTTCATTTATCAGTTAGCATTCCTACCACTCATATCTTCCTATATTTGGTTACAATTCAAGTGATATTTATTGAACTAACTGAGAGATAGGAAAATAGTTCGAGAATAAAATAATGTGATACCAGAAGGAGGCAGTGTGTCAGTCAGTATTAATTCATTCTGATCAGTAGAAAGATAAATTCGGAATGGCAAAGAAAGAGGAATAGAAGAAGGATCAGCTGTTGAAAGGTTAATGTGGAATCGTCTTGCAGAGTATTGTTGTCATAACTAAGAGAAGAAAGGAGTGGGATCTCAAACACAATTTGTTCCGAACCGATCTAATTCCACACAGTTGAATATGTCACTCAACACCAAAAACTCATGCAGCGAACCTGATTTATATTCAAAAATGGGGTTCTTTTTGCTTCTCACCCATTATTTTACTTTTTTCCAGCAATATTCCACTGTCTCATCTTTTCCTTTTATGGCCTGCATTTTATGACAGGATCAAGCACCCTCGGTCCACTTTCGTCCTCCATCATTACCCTATCGAGCTCATCAGTATTTCATTTAAGACAAAGAAAAACCAAATGATATTGCCGCATTAAATGAGGGAATTGAACTTTTGCATTTTTTAGCTTTTTCTAACCTCTAAAAGCATTTTCTGAGCAGAGTATTATACCATCTTTTGCTTTATCACAAAACCGAACATATTAATAATATCATCTTAACTGTATGTAACAGATATTAAGTTTACATTGTTGATGAACAGTCTAAAGAATTAAAAGTGGAAATAAGTTAAGTAACATAAACGACTGTTTTTGATGTTAATAAAAGTTCTTGGTTCTCTAATTAATACGTTTTGTAAATGTTCGGTGATATCTGATTGCGTAATTTATTTTTCAAGTTAATTAAGTAAGTATAAAAGTCCAAAAAGTATAAATTTATATTTCCTTTCGTTTTCCGTACTACTGAATAAACTTCGATAAATTTCAGGTATTCCTGTCAGTGAGTCGACAATAATTCATGATGGTGAGACTGTCTATAGCTAATTTTTTAAATTTAATCTTTGATAATATCAACAAAATTATTCTCTCTCGATAACTGCAAATAATTTTTAGCGAAATGTCCGAAATGTAGAGCTGCACCGAAACGATTAACACAGAAAAAGTACTGCAGGAGAGAATACGGTAACTTTTCTAATTTTATTTATGTTTTTGCATTTAATTGATGTGAAGAAAAGCATTTCTCAGGAACTCTGAAATTTTCAATTCAGCAGTTGAAGTACAAGTAACAAGACGTGAAAGCGTAGATGGTTGGAGTAAATATCAGTTAATAGTGTTAGCAATTTACAAGCGTGATACTGGAATCCGTTTACGTCGTGGTGAACAGTCATTGTGGATATCTGGTAAACGTACTGCTTGCAAATGTCCCAAAATACGAGTTGGGAGAAAATATCTCATACTTGGTGCGTATTTTTTCAAATTCTTGTGAAAGGTTACTTTTGTGTGGATGAATAAAGGGTCAGCACAAATTATTGACTCAGGTCTTTTGAAACTTTTTCAGGAAAGATTTTGTAAATCATGATTTTCCTTGTCATGATTTTTTAATATTTGTGACCTATTAAGGTGCTTAAAAACTGATTTTTTTCAGGTCAAAATGATACCAATAATATAAGTCGACCAGGAATTGTTTTTGGCACAAGAACAGTTGTACTAGAATGGAACGATGAAGATTTGGAGAAAATTATGCGTTTTTCCAAAAAAGAAAAGAAAGGTCAATGTCCAGCAAGACGACGATTTTGATGAATTTTTGCATTCAGATTCATCACTCCACTGAACTATCATCAAATATAATGAACACTTTGTAGAGTGAAAAAACTTTCATTGCCATTTTGATATTCTAATTTGCTTTTTCTGAACTGCTGTAAAACTTAGAACCAAGAAACAATGTTGAATTTTTTTACATTTTGATGGCTGGAGAATAATAATTTACAAACGAATTCATTTTTTAAATCTAGGCTTTAGTTGCAAGATTATTTCTTATTTCAAACTTCTTTGGTTTGGCGATTAAAAGTTAATTTAGTTCCATTTTATTTTGAAATAGCAAGTAAAGAATTATTTGGTCATCAAGTGTTACTATATAGCACAATGTACACTGATATTTTGGGTGAAAGAAATTGAGTTTAGTATGACTTTGAGAAGTTAGAGAGGCAAAAAAGGAACTTTGTATCGAATATTTTCTATATGATAATAAGGAAGCAACCAACTGCGGGGGATGGAATGCGGGGGGAAGTGAAACCAACTATTTTCTAAATATTTGAAAAGAGACTGCAGTTGACGAGAAGTTTAAAATACTTCAAACATTCAATCGCTTGTGAAATATTTTAGTCGAACTTTTAATTCATCGTATCAGTCACATGTTTACTAATAAAAATAATGCTAATTTGAGCGAGTTCTTACATTTTCGTTCTATTTTAAACTGTTACTGTAAATCGCAAGTCGCAATATACCAAACTGCGAACTTATTTCATTGATCTCATCCAGCTGTAAACTTTCCTGTACTCCATTGGAAGATCTGTTGTCTTCACTGTCAGCGCCACAAATTTCCATTGCTATGTATTTATCTAGTATATATGAGATAAACGTCTTTTGTTGACTAGTTAACCATTAATGCAACAATAATTTCGTCTTTTCTACACAGTTATTAAATGTCTTATCGTTGTTCACCCGTCTTTAAATCCCTCTCTCATTACAAAAATCCCATTTCAGTAGAAAATTTCAATACAAATTCCAGTATCTCGTTCCATAAGAAGGATGAATTACCTTAACTCATGAAAATTTTCATGTTCGTGTTTCTCAGAGATCATAAAAATATTGGACTCGTTTTATAGGTAATAATATAGCAGAGATATACGGAATTAGGCAAGCATGCTTGAAATATAACTACTTTATTTACAATCTCATTTATACATTATTGTTATAACGAGAAGGGTCAACTTTGTCCCTTTTTCACATGAAAAAGATTACCTTTATCCCCTATTTTTGTTCTTTCACCATTGACGTAAAACTCCCATCAGTTCAAAAAATAAAAAACAAATAATGCAACGACTGTAGTTTGGTAAGAAAATTTGACCCCTAGAAGATCCTTCTTTCTCTAAAATCACTGAAGAGTCATTTATTCGTATTTTAAGAACATTTTAAACAAAAATGCTGCATTTGTACAAAAGACATGAGCGAAATTAACGATCTTCTTACTAACGAATAGGATATCGCTCTTTCCAAAAAAGGTTCCAGCATTTTTTCATAGAAAATGAGAGTGAATCGTGAACCATGTAAGAAATAGCGAGGAATCAGAATTTGAAATTCGGTTTGCCTGTTTGCTTAAGATGTTGCTCTTGCATAGTTCACGATTCACTCTCATTTTGATCGATGAATGTCCAAACATGAACATAAATTTATGTGTTATACGTTGAACGTACTACCTGTAATTTATAAGTTGAAATTAAAAAGGGTTCCAGCATCTTTCCATAGAAATTGTCGATAGCGCTTACCACCACCCCCGTCTCATAACCGACCAAAATACCATAAAGTCCCAAACGGAGGTACAAATCTGGAACTGAACGCTATTCTCGCATAGTGTGAGAACACTGGATAAACATTTTCAGAGCGATCCGTCAAATTGGCATGAAATTGAGATGAAACTGGAAGTTACTTGCTCTCAGTTCTGCTTGTTGATCCCGTCATCATCGATGCTCATCGCCAGTGGTTAGACATTGATGTCTGCTAGAGCGTTGTATCGCTAAGCGAGATGACTGTCGCTAAACTGTCTCGGCTTTAAGAGCCAGAGAGGGGTGGAGTTGAAAAAGATATTCCTCTGTATTTTTTCTTAAGTCATTGTCCGTTTTAGAAGAATGGGTAATCGAAAAAGGATATCACCGAGGAATTCTCCACCTCCTCAAGTGACCAAGACAGTCAGGAAGCAAGAGTCAATAGATTTTTCTATAGGCAAAATGCTTGTTACTGTTGGTGTTGTTGTCACTGTCCTTGCTCTTGGTGCCCAGTATTTATATGTCAACTATTATTACCTCCCAAATCAAATTTCTACGAAGTCTAAGCTTCCCACTGTTAGCAGAAAATCTAATCCGGTTTGTTTCTCATCAAATTTTCAAAAATTTAGTAAATAGGGTCTTTCTTCATAGTTGAATCGCTTTATTGTTTCTTCACAGTTAGCAAGGTAAAGCCGGTCATTTTTTGACCACTGTGAGAAAGCAGTGTATTACTATATTTCCAAATGTTTTTAAAGCATGTGTACAAATATTTAGCGCATATGGGGTACTTATCGATCACACTTATATTTTGGATTACGAGCCCGATACGAGACGTCACCACTTTTCGGAATGATGTGGTATCGACAGCCAGTCGAAGGCCAATTCCCGCAACTGCGGCACTGGTGTGAGCAGGTGATATTTTTGTCTCGTTGATATTAGACATAACCAGGATTAAAACTTTGTTTTCTCAGAAATAGTGAACTGATTACAGAGCAGTGGAGTAGCAAAATATGCATGGGTCTTAGCGGACGGGCATTCATTTGGATTACAAGCGATTCATGATGAACCGTTGGACATTTTCACAGATTGGATAAACGATGGACCCGTGTGGACAGCTCGTGTAACCACCATATCAAATGTGGATTCTAATTTTGCTATTTTATTCTATTTTGCTCTACAGGTATCGTTTCATGGAGAAAAAGAAATGATAAATGATTAACGTGCTAGTTCGAGATGTGTTTTGCTTTCAGTTTTCGCCGTGAAATTTGCACCTAAGGCTATTTATGCTGCGTTGGATGCCAGTTTTGGATTATCATTTCTCTTGTATGTGTTTCATTTAGGATGACAGTTCTAAACTGCGAGCGTTTTATCAATATGGTGAGTTGGATTATTTCACGGGAGAGTCGGATGTGCTTGGGAATTTCACTGTAAACATAAATACAACAGTAAATCTTGCTTCCAGATCTTTTCTTGCCATGAAAACAAACGACGTGCCGGACGTCAGTACTATGGAGGTTAACATTCAAGTTTTAATATATTTGATATGTGTGATACACATAACGCACAAAATCTTTACACGTTTTGACTTCGAAAGTATTAACTTATGCTAACTTAAGGTTTGTTGCTGTTCATGTGTTTCTTTTATTAGTTTTAGAAAAAATAACTGGCTTTAGTTACAATATGTATTACACATAAGTATTTTAGGATATAATCTTGTCGTCCACCTTAGTTGACCGTTCTCGTGGACAACTACGCCTTCCCAGCGCTTTTGTTTCCAAAGGCAGTGTACTCGAAAGCGAACCTCGTCTTATTGTATTGCAATTAAATGTTCGATCGAATTCATCTACGGAAATCTCGTTTTCCGTGGGAGAAAAGAAACCCATAAGAGGTAGATACTTTTTGCGAGGTTATACATAAATAAGTATTATAAATGTAACTGTTCGAAATTTTTTTTTACCATGAATTGAGAAAATTTTCTGAGGCATTACATTCTCCTGTTTTTTAGATTCATACCATTATTCTCATTGCAGAAGCATTCCTTGTATCTGGAACCGTTCATAATTATCTTATTTACGTTTCTTTTTCTTGATTCTTCTCGAACTATTCATTTCATTTACTAACGAATTTGTGAAACTATATATAAAACAGACTTAAAATTGTCACTGCACTTATAGGAGTTAACTTCAGGCAATGGCTTTTCAAAATTGTTAGAGCAGAGAACAAAGGGATTCAATAGTAAATTTGAAGCTGTATACGGTTTGTCAGCTAAGGTGTAATATTATTTCGAAAGTAGATTTATGTGCATTATGGTATAAATATTTTATATTTGATCCAAAGTTTTTTTTAGAAACGTGCTGCCTTTCTTTTGATGTTGGGAAAATTTGGCCATAAGACTTTTACGTTATAAGGTAAACCTGATTTCATTATGTGATTGCTGTCTGAAATTTAGGGATATCCGGATTTCTACCAAGAACTTGGAAAAGTTGCATTGTCAAACATGTTAGGTACAATCGGCTATGCACATGGATCAAATCGTGTACAAAGCAGCTATTCATCAAAGCACTCACTCTACGGTCCTCACTCCTTGTTATTTACTTGTCCATCACGTTCTGTATTTCCTCGTGGATTTTTGTGGGACGAAGGATTTCATCAACTGCTTCTAATGAAGTTTGATCCCGATTTATCTTTAGAGGTATATCTAATGGTGTTTTATCACATACAGATTTCTTTGTTTCATTGGAAATGATAGATTTTGGAAATTAAATTTCTTAGCTTCTGATTAATATGTTTTTTTTTCCATAATGTTGCTATTTCGGCTTGAAACAGTTATGTCTTTTATTACTAATGGAGTTAGCTATGATGAAAGAATGATGTATTTATCACAAGGAAAAATGAAAGTTGTAGAATATCTTTGTGACGCTAATTAATGAAGTGGTATGCAGATAATTGCGTCTTGGTTGGATACGATGAATGTTGATGGTTGGATACCAAGAGAAATGATACTGGGGAAAGAAGCAGAATTGCGTGTACCTGTCGAATTTGTCGTCCAACGCGATAACATTGCAAATCCGCCAATGCTTTTCTATTTAATTGAAAAATATTTGGATCACAGTTATGTAAGCAACTTCTGTGCAGTTTATGAAATATAATGTTTATTTTACTTACGCTGTAATCAGTTATAATGCGACTTAAAAGAGTTTCAAGTTTTAAATAAGTGATTGAAATTAGACTTCTTGAAGCAGGAAGAAGTGTTGAAGAAGTTTTACCCTCGATTAAGGCTCTGGCATAAGTGGTTGAATTCCACGCAGTGGGGAAAAAAGAGTGGTACATATCGATGGAGAGGTAGGAATGCAACAACAATTGACGAGTTGAATCCACGAACACTACCAAGTGGTTTGGACGACTACCCGCGTGCAACACATCCTACTGATGATGTATGTTATTGAAAACTTAGTGATTTATGATTATGTCATTATCATGATTAAAGTTAAAGTTTTCGATTATCTCTGTAATTCTAAGACTTGAAGTTCATATTTGTAGGAATATCACGTTGATTTGAGTTGTTGGATGGCGCTTTCAGCTCGAGTACTTTCAAAGCTTGCCAAACTTGCTGGAGATTCGCAGAACGAAGAGCAGTATTTAGCTGACTATAATTACCTTATGGATTTGAATCGCTTTGATAATCTTCACTGGAGTCAAGCAAAACAAAGGTGTTTGGATCATACAAAGGGTTTTGAACTATAATTTGCTGCCTGACTTGTTAAAAAGCTAGAAAATGATAATGCAGATGATAATTTTCTTGGATGCAGGATTATCGAATTTCTGATGCTGTGCGAATTGGCTGAATGATTGACAGTATGCACAGAGAAATTCTTTGTTAAGTGTTACGCTTTCGTAAACGGAGAAGACGTTTTTTTCAATTGGATTTTAAACCATATTTTGAAGATATGACGTTAAAAAAACTTAAAATATCTGTTAAATTACTTTACAGATATTGTGATTACGGACTGCATAGCAACAGTGTAAAATTAGAAAAGAAATTTGATAGCGAAAAGCTGAAGCGTGATTCGAGTTACAGTGTTGCAAGTGTGTCAATGAAACGTGTAGCTAGAGCTTCACCAAAGCTACAACTAGTTGAAGATGCTTTTGGATATGTTTCACTCTTTCCCGTGCTGCTCAAACTTCTTCCTCATGATTCTGATAAATTGCGAATTATTCTCGAAAATATTAAAACAGAGGTTTTAAATCTTGTGTACTTACCGATTGTATTTCTGTGTGGTTCTAAACTGCTTTTTAGCTCTATTTTCTAATGTGTGATAAACAATCGTGTGTCGAGAGTGTCGATATCACTGTCAGACAGCTTTCCTATTTATTATATCCGAAGTGACTGTCTGTGGTTTGAATTACTTCTTTTCGCTTGTGATAATCCTTCTAGAATCTAAAAAATATTTTTAGTTCTTTGGAAATGGTTATCCCTATTTTGCATTTACCTAAGTCTAAGTTAATTTCGTTCTCTTTTCTGAATTCCCGATTGAGATCTAATAGTTCAACATGTAAATTTATAGAGGTTATGGTCTGATTTCGGTTTGCGATCAATTGCGCCATCTTCACCGTACTATAAAGCTCATAACACGGAACATGATCCCCCTTATTGGCGCGGAAGTATTTGGATTAACATCAATTACTTGATGCTTGCTGCTCTGAAACATTATTCCTCAGTGGAAGGACCCAATCGTGAACTGGTACCTTTTTTTTTTTTCATTTGTTTTCGTGGTGGTTTCAGTTATTATTTTAAGTAAAGAATATAATAGTCTGTATCAGGAACGATCGAAGAAGAAAATTAGGATTACACATCTGTTTTGAGGCATTTGGTGTTTATTCGGATTTGCGAAACAATTTGGTTACTAATGTTGCACGAGAATTTCGAAGAACAGGGTTTTTGTGGGAAAATTACAACGATGAAACAGGTCAGGGCCAAGGTGCTCATCCATTCACTGGATGGTCTTCACTTGTGCTTTCAATTATGGCTGAGCAGTACGATTAGGTTTTTCTTGAGATGTAATGATTGCTTTTACGCGATTACTTTAATTTCTTATTTGTGCAATGAAATAAGATCGACAGTTCTAACAGATAATGTAACTATTGGTAGGCCATTTTCAACATATGCCAAGTTTTGCTCAATGTATCAAAACTCCATAATTATATTGCTCCTACTTATTGTTAATATGTTTATAATATTGTTTTGATTCGAAAATTTATTTTCGATGAAATCAGTTTGATGATATTTTCTGATGGATTATCTGTCGTAGAGTAGGATCAAAGTCACTGGATCAATTTCTAGACTGAGATATTCCAAAAAGGCTTTTGTTTGGTAGGAACTGAAATCTAAAGCACATTTAATCACGAAGGATTTACATAGTTTGAAATCGTATCAAGCAAAAGTTTTATTTATATAAAAACAAGTTAGACAACAAATATGGAAACAATATGTGCCACAACCACAACTGTGTTTGAAATAGAGTCTAATTGGAGTAGACTGTAGAGCCGAATAGGTAATACTTTGAAAAAAAGGCGATGATTATTGATTGATATTTATTTTATTGAGATAAAGGTTATCTTTGGTCGAATTTATTGAACAGTATTAGAAAGTTTGAGGAAGAAGTTGTAGGAGAGCAGTGAATAACAGATTGTTATCTAGAGAACTTAATCTCGATAAAGGATATAATTCCTTATATAATAAGCACTAACTGAATTAACTCTTAATAAGACGCATGTTTTACAATGGAGATCAGCTAAACAAGGTGCTATTAACCTTATCAATAATCAGACCTGAATGATGAGGTGACAAGCCGTAAAACGAAAGCCTGTTAACTTTGTCAAATTCCAATAAAATTTACAGTGAGTGAGGAGTCGACAAACAACAAAAGAGGCCAACTAAATATACAACTGATAATTGTAAACAATTTGTTCTTTGTTAACAAACTTTATATAAGGTTGGAATAATTGTCTAAGGAATGTTCAAATAAGATAACCTTTAGTTCTATGGATTTAATACACTTTTATTTCTTTTTCCGACATTCCTGACTGAAAGACGGAAACTTTCAAGAAGAAGAATTGATTGCATTGGTCTGAGTTCGTCGTTTTGTACCAGTTCTAATTCTAGTAGAGAGACAAGTTCTTGTTCATCGACTCCTCGGATTGTCATACTTCGTTGGTTGCGTTGTTGAATTTTCTTCATCGTGGACTATCATCAAGAGGTACAGTTTCATATCCATTGGTCACTTGAGGACACTTCTCTATCTCTTTAATCTCATACACCGCGAGAAACTTGAGTAATATAATTTCCTCCTTATGAGGTATTCTTGCTATTACATTTCTTAGAGATCTCTTTTAGGTCACTCTCGAAGACTGGTTAAATACTCATTTCTCCATATATCTCTATGTATCCAAGATCTTGAGGGTGTGTGACCAATATTAATAAGTTTTTCTTTGGTACTTAGTAGGGAGAAAATTCTTCTTGATCATAGTGGTTAGTAATTGGGTCGAGCGTATGATTATGCAATCTTCAAAGTTTACGTAAGTCAGTGGCCGAGTGTTTAACATACCTTTTATTTCTACTATTAGTTTTGTTAATTCCCTTTTCCATAATGACTTCCTTCCAATGTCTCTTTTCATTGCTCTTTTCAGTTATTTCTCTTATAATCTCTTCTACTCCATGGAGCTCTTAGCATGATGTTCTTCTAGATCATTCTTTATTTGTCAGGAAATTTGTTTATTGTGTATTTCATTTCGTAATGATGGGCGATGAATCTTCTTTATATATGTAGAGAACTTTTGACAGATGAACTTTCTACCGGTTCTAAATGCGCTTCTCTTGTTGTGAAATTTATGAAGAGAGCTATCCTTCTTTTAGCTATGCTGATATGAGTTTTGATAAAAAGAGGAACCATACGACCCAGTCCAACGTGTGTAAATGTTTGAGAGTGCATGACTCGAATTTCTGGAAGGTTAGGCTGACCGGGTTTGTTTCGCTTAATTTCTGTTCTACCTTTTGATATCCAGAATTTTGTCCTTAATTTTGAAAGTGTATGGACAATTTCAGCGTAACGTAAAACCTTGTGCTGCTATTGTATGAAAAGTACAGTTATGGGAATTATGTTACAAAAAGTAAATTGGATATAAACTGTCCTCATTCAATTCGGAATTTCCAATCGACTTTTGGATTTCCAATAGCAGTTTTCTTTATCGTAATATGGATTCCATTTATTAATTTGCAATCATCTGTTGCAAGTTGACCGTTTATCGTTGGTAAGATTGTAGCTATGGTATTTGTCTTCTTGCTGTAATTTTATGAATTTAAGAGTTCATCATGCAATAGTCTTTAGTAATTTTAACACTGACTAAAACGATTTGCATCTGTAAATTTAAAACTTTTTCTTATAATTTTTTTTGTTGCTTTTACGATAGGGATTTCACTTTCTTCATTTGCTATGGCTATTATGGCTAGTTGATTTCCCCCTTTTCCAGCAACGGTCGTCCTTTCCACTATATTTCATAGTTCGGGAACGGTCCTGGATTCAGTGTAGTAGACATTTACTTCCAGTCTGACCATAAAGTTACTGGTGCATTTTCGAGACCTAACTGATTTATTACAAAATGGACAATAAGTATTGCTAATAACTCCATTCAAAGTATACTGATGCCTTTAATTGGTACGATTCAGTATTAAATAAATTAAATATCAAGGACTACGCGTGTATACAGCCGCAGAATAGGCCACAGTTGATGTATCGGTGATGACATGGAGTTGCGCTTGCTCTGAGCAATATGTCACTTTTATGTTTATGTTTGTTGATTATTTGTTTATCGGAGATTCCCACGTTTCTTTGTCTTCTTCACTTATAGATTGATCCCAAGCATTATTTTTTCATGAAATTTGAAGAAAAAATTTGGATTACGTGATAATCAGAATGAGGAATCTCATTGGGTCGGATTGAGGTGCTCTAAAATGTAAAATTGTTCTTTTTGTTAGATCCCTTTCATTCCAGGGTTTTAAGATGACTTGGATGACATCCTTTTTGGAATTCCTATCAACACCAAGAATTTTCTTAAATAATTTTGCTCATTATCACTTGAAAGAAATTCCCTTCTTTATAATTTTTGAGTGCTTCTTGGATTTCTTTAGTTAGTAATAACATTGTCAACACAGAGATTTTTTCAGATTTCCGAGATAATTTCGCTTCCTTGAGTTCATAGATAATAGTTGAAAGTTGGATGATGATATCCCTTAACCAGAGGAATCGAATGTAATTTCGCTCTGATAGAAATAATTCCAGTTGCATTCCATCATTTTGAATCGAAACAATGCACCTGCTAAATCATTGAATGTAATTGGACCGTGGTATAGAACAGAAAATCGTTCAAACTTACCATTCTTTTGAGGTCGGCAAAAGCATCGTAAATGATTCTTAATTTTATTGTTGATTTGCCGATTCGGTATTAATACCTCATGATGGGGCAAATAGTATATAACGCCAACCTGGATCATTTGCGATTGTCTAAGGTTACTTCTTCAATGATATTGGATTTTATTTATTCTTCAACTATATTATTGTATCGATTAAGTAGCAGTTTATCGGTTTGAAGTTGTTAATGTCTTCAATCTCTCAAGGTAAAAACCATAATTATCATTTAGGATAACATTTGAATCTTTCCTAAGTCAAGATGCTTGATATTTTCCATTTTGTTTAGTAATAGTTTCTTTGAAATGTTCAGCGTCTGTTCGTCATTATGAGTATTGGGTTGTTCCTGAATGTCTATGAGTTCTAATTTCCAGAAATGGTTTGGTTCTGAACAGACGTGATATCAAATTTGATTTGGTCTTTGTCATAATTAGATGTATCCATTTCCAATTATTATAAAACCAACCTTTGTGGGGATTGCATAGAATCCTGATACCATATTGTAGCTTTGGTTTGGCGATATGAAATTAAAAAACTAGTCAGCCCAATAAATATATCGAACCTTTTCCAATATCCTCTTTCCTCATCTAGCAATTCTTGAGATATCATACGTGGCAAATCATGGTGGCTCTATTTAACTACTTGTAGTTTTTCTATTAGGCGATCTAACCGTAAGCATTAATAGGTATACTTTTAGATTCCAAAGTTCTTACTCCTTTTTCCACTTTTGTAATCTGACATGATTTTGGAGTTTTGTTACTAAATGAGAAGAATTTCAAATCAAGATTTCCTTTACTGGAACCTATTAATTGCGTAAATTTCTTGGACAACGTCGTACTATGAGAAACTTTACGGTGGAAACAAGGAAGTTTCCCTTTTTTGCAATCACTTGTTGCAATTCTTTCGAAAACATTTGAAACATGTGACAATTCCCCTCAAACGTTCCATACGGAGCTTAAGCCTGGGATAAATGTTACATTCATTATTCCAATGGTCCTTGTTGCTGCTAGTTTTTCCCCTCAGATGAATTTCCTTTAATTCTAGGACTTCAATTTGGATGATTTGGTTGGAAAAAAATGTCATCCTTAACATTATGTTTAATTAGTTTCTTTTATGGATCGATCATCTTGTTGATTCTGACTTTACTTGGTACATCTTGTCCAATATCCAAACCGGTAGTTTATTTTCAATTGCAATTTCGATACTTTGATCCTTTAACTTCTCAGCAATGGCTTCCAATTATCGAAATAATCTTTCTATTGCTTCAGTAATTGCTTTCCAGTCACGATCATTTCTTCTGATGGAATGTATTTCATTGTAAATTGATTCTTTATAATGAAAGTTTTATCATACTTCTTTGCAAATATGACTTCGTAGTAATACTTTAAGAAAAAACATCAGATAGTTTAGTTTCTGAATATTTGGAAATGTTTTGATCATGAACTGCTGCACTGAATCAATCACCACTAAATGCTATTAGTATAGGTTTACTGTTGCGTTATTGGTGGAGACCACTTTTCCATTTGAGGTTGACTATCCGATATCTTCTTTACTTGATCCTTGGTATTATTTACTACTTCAC